ACTCTCACCAGAAAGGAGAGGGAGAATCTGTTTTGAAAACATTAATGTTTGGTTTAAAAGGACATTCCCCAAACAAGGCCAGCCAGCTGGTTAGTGAGCATCCACCTTTAGGCTCTGAACTTTTCACTAGAAGTATGTTTGTGTGTTCATGTGTGTATCCACATGTGGGGAGGCGTTCCATTCCATCAAGAGAAACAGGTCTTCCAACAGATCTACTATGGCACTGTTACCACAGGGAGTTCACTGGGTCCTGGCTCGTGGGGCTTCCAAGACACATCCCTCAAATCCCAATGAGTTAAAAAAAACAATCAGGGCCTGGATTCGCCAACAGCAGGCCTTTGGATGGAAGGGCTTCTCTTTGTACTGTGGTTTGGTTTACTGCACTCTAGTCCCACAAGCCCCAACTAGGACTTTGTCTGCAAACCCAAGCTCCTTACAGCTTTCCAAAGAGACCCCTTGGATACAAAGGCCCTCAAAAGGAAACTGGAGCCTTTAGAGCAAACCATGGATAGCTGCATTGTCTAACCACATTTACCAGAGTCCCCAAAGATATGCAGCACCTTATATGGGACTGGGGCAAATGGCTTCTGTGTATTCATAGCTGGTCAGGACACCTTGTTGGGTACTTCTTTCTCTTGGTGGAGAGAAAGAGACCCATAGCCATGGTCTCTGGGAAAGATACAGGTGTAGGAAGCTGATCTAATCTCACCCTCCCTAGCACCCATGCTTCTGTCCAAAGAAAACAGGTTTGATGACCATCACCAACAGGCTACTTTCATGGTACACAACCTGGGTGTGGGCACACAGGCCCCACACACTTGATCACAAGATTCTTTGGGTGTTTTGAAATTCTTTTGTTCTTTCTTTCTTTCTTCAAAACTTTTTTTTTTGAGACAAGGACTTGCTGTATAGCACAGGTTATTCTCAAAACTCTTGATCCTCTAGGCTTGTACCACCATACCTGTCTGGAAACCCTTAGTTTCATGGGCTAAGAAGATGACTCAGTCAATAAAGTGCTTGCCGTGTAAGCAGAATGACCTGAGTCTGACCGCCAGAGGCCATATGAAAAAGTTCAGTGTGGTGGGGTGTATTTATTATCCCAGCACTGGGGAAGGTAGACAGACCCCTGGGGCTTTCTTGACTAACAGATCTTGCATAATTAGTGAGCCCCATGTCTCAAAAAAAATAAGATGGATGTCACCG